TAAGTATATGAATATTGGGCACTTGGACCCTTAGGGTCATGGAACTGTGTAACTGCTTACAACGGCTCAGAAGCCCTAAGCCCTAAACCCTAGTAACTGCTTATAATGGGGCTCAGAACTTCACTTATAAGCCCCCATTTAGCCTCATAAGGGGTAAACTAAATTCTACGCCAAGTTTTCTCCTGCAGCTATAGGTAATTACTAAATCCAGTCGACCTCCAGGTATTGTCGTTGTTCAGGGTTGAGGGTCTAGACGTTTGGGGATTTCGGGATTAAGGTAGCGCGGGGTCGCCTACTCCGCAGGGTCCATATAGGGATGCGTAGGTATATGAGCCGCAGTCTAAACTCCTAGCATCCCCCCGAATAAGCCCTAGAATACTCCCCAATATAAAATTTCAGGAGTTTAGACTATGGCTCATATAGGGACGTGGGTTGAAGAGTCCAAGGTTTCAAATGAAACCCAGCCCTGTATTTTTTGGAATTATTTGGTTCAACCCAACGGGTGAAGGGTTTCGGGTTAGGGTTGGGCCGTTGGGCTACTGTGGAAAAGCAAGCCCTGAACCCTAAACCCCCCAAACCAAGGTGGAACCCGGACTGTCTGTGGTCTAGATGATGCCCATTTGGGGCGGTTCTGTGCTGGTTCGAGGGAAGGCATGCTATCCAAGATTAGGGTTTGGGGATCAGGGCTTTGCAGATAATGGTTTTAAGTACAATAAGCAAGCAAGATTGTGGCATGTGGTGTCTAAAGCCACCATATTTGAGCCCTTGGACCCTGAGGAATATGCCTTAGATTGCGAAATTCCAGGAAGCTATATCTTGCGACAGGAGTAAACATTATTCAGACACTTTACGGCCCCAAATAACGTACCCAAAATAAGTGTTATAGACAGGGTTTAGGTCTTACGGTTTAGGCGGTCCCTATAGTAAGACTTGTAATACTTTGGGGTTTATATTGGGGTACCCCTATTTCGGGAAATTACCAGTTATACGCATTTTTGCGGCCCAAAGTAGGTGTATTCATAGACTCGGATCCCCAGGTTTAGGGTTTAGGGTTTAGGGTAAGCTGGGAATGAAGGAATGGAAAAGAAAATGGAAACGACTATAATGGGGTTATATAGAGGCTACTATACCTTAACCTACCGAAGCCTAGTTGTTCGTAGGGTCCTACTATAATCCCTGGCAAAGAATTTATAGGGAACCTGCAACAAAGCAGGTTTTGGTAGGTTAAGGTAAGGATCCATTCCTTCATTCCTAGCTAACCAAAGGTAAGCAAGGCGGTAAGCAACCCGTGAAACCCTCAACCCTATATAATCACATTCTAGTAGTTTCTATTTCTTTTCCATTATCCACATATAGAAGGAGGGGCCCCCTTGTTGAATAACTACACCTATAAGTCCCATTACCTAGAATTTATGGAACTTATAGCCATGTTTAGCCCAACTTATAACCCAACTTATAACTAGAGGGCCCCTCCTTGCCAGTTGTTCAAAGCACTGAAATGGTTCTTCTTTGTTGGCGTGAGAGAAGCTCAACACCGACCTTGCCAGCATGGTATTCCAGTAGGAAGAATTATCTTAAAGTCGGAAACAAAAAACACTATGAAACCTCACAGTGAAGCCAGACAGGTTTCCTGAAGGAATTACGACGTCATTCACAGCTGCTGCATGGTCCCACACCAGGCTTCAGCAAGCCGCTCGGGCCGCGCTCGCATGAGTAGTTTATTTTTTTCAAAATATGGGTTTAGGATTTGGGGTTGAGGGGTAGGGCCTTGAAACCCTTTAAAGGGGTTATAGGGATATGTATGGTCTAGGGCCTACGGGCTGAGATATACAATTCTTGTTTTTTGCTGTTAACTGGGGTCTCGTATGGGAAGAATATGTTCTCTTTCGGGACATGGCCCCCTAATTTGTAGTCCTTGTGCTGTTGAGGGCTGAGGACTTGGGAGTTACTCGTAGTGTTTCCGGTGTAAACAGCCCTTAACTTTACCCCTGAACTTTTAACCCTAATTATCTCCTGAACTTTTAGCTCGAAACCCTCAACCTTGAATTCCAAGTCCTGAGCCCACATTAAGCCGGCCAGGGCCAAGCGGTACCACATTGCCGTCCATGTCCGTCGGGGGGACATCGGCCGTTCAAACCAGAAAGGCCGTGACAAGCCAGACAAGGCGGAGATTTGCAGATTTCCATACGGGCGGGTTCCAGGTTTCGGATGAAGGGTTTTCCAGAGGGTCCAAGAGCCCAATGAATTAGGTACTTCGGTTTCTGAGGATATTGATTCTAAGGGTTCGAGTTTCTTTAGGGTTCAAACCTTAAGGGTTTGCGTGATAAAGTCTATAGGTGCAAGGGGTTTAGAGTCTACCTAAATCCTAAAGGTATGTAAAATAATGGCCTTCATGGCTATTATTAAGGGTTTAGGGCTATGATTTTACATACATTTAGGGTGCAGGTAGAGTTGGGGATTCTGAGCCTCCCCCCTGACACACCCTTTGAGCAACGGAGGGCGCATGCTTAGTTCTTAGGGTATACCTAAACCCCAAAAGTATGTAAAATAATGACCCTAAACCCATAATAATAGCCATAAAGGCCATTATTTTACATACTTTTGGGGCCCAGGTAGTATAGTAGCGGTAGTAGTTCTAGTCCGTCGCTTCAGCTTCGGGCTTTCGTAGTTGACCCTTAGG